GACGGCGCCATGGCCCAGACCCGAAATGATGGCAAACATGGAGTTGAAATTGCGGCACTCCTTGCAGTGGCGCGCAATCTTGATGAACTGCTTCACGATCTTCATGCGACGCACGATATTGTGTTCGGCACAGATTTCGCTGACCACCCAAAACATTTCGCGATTCACCAGCTCGGAGAACTTGCTCAGCATGGGCACACCGTACTTGGACTGCAGCTCGAAGAGCTCATCAATGTATTCCGTGGACTCGATTTGGCGAAAGTTGGCGAAATCTTGCAGCGTCAACTGTATGGCCAGCTCGTAGGCATTGAGCTGTAGGAAATGTACACCCGACTCACGCACCAGCTCCAAGGCCAGTTCGTCCGGCACCAGCGGCTCGGTGCTGTCGTTTAGCTTGAGATAATAGCGTGCCGCAAAGCTGATGCGCTCCGCCAGATTTTGCAGCTGATCCGGCAAACGACGCTGCTTTACCATGCCGCCTTCCCCGACGCTCACCTCACACAGCGAGAAGTTCGAGCTGGGATCGTGTATGCCAAACTCTTGCAGCGTCAACATGACCACCTCGTGCGCCGTAGTCTCCTTGTAGATGAGCACGTATTTGCATGTCTGATCCGATTTGTACACCTTGAGCACATGCTCCGGATAGTCGGGCGGCAGCATTGAGCTGCTTGTGAGCGTGCTGGCAGCGGAGGGGCGATGCAAGTGCGCCTGCAAATAGTTGACTTGCAGCGTGGCGCTTGGATCGCCGCTATTGTCATAATTGAGACTGCTCAGATCCGGATTAGATTGCGACTGATAAAGGCGCCCGCTGGTAGTGCAGACACCATTTGTGGAATGGCAGCTGCTGCTGCCAGAACTGGCGGCCGATAGCTTTGCCTTGGACTGCGGCTCATTGAGCAGCGTGTCGGAGCTGTCGTTCAGGCTGCCGCCCACGTGCGGCTGCTGCTGTTTGTTGAGTAGATTCATTTTGGCTAAGGCTTTCTGCAGTCGCCGCTTGGGCGCCAGCGTCATAAAGCCTCCTGGTTTGCTGTCCTCAGCGCTGCACTTTTTGGCCGAATTTGAATTGACGCTTTGCAGCAACTGTTGCATAAAATTAGAAGCCATATTGCCGCTGCCCGCACTCACCGGCGGCGTCTGAGGTGGCGCACAGTCCGGCTGATCCAGTAGCATGTCCACGGAACTAAGGCGCACCATGTGCGCACGATTGGTTAGCTCCTCGGTGGTGCTGTCGCTGCGTCCATGCAGCTTGGCAATATCGTTGGCGCAAATGCGCCGTGGACTGCGCAAGCTTTTAAAGCTGCCGTTGCCGCTGCCGGTGGAGCTGATGCCACCGCCTGCAGAGCTGCTGCCGCTGCCATGCTCCAGTGCCTGCATAATTTCCTTGAAGCCCAGCAAATTGCTTTTCACCTGAATGCTCAAATGCGTGGTGCCCGTGAGTAGTTCCAGTGCACGCTTGCTGGTCACATGATCCAACGATTGGCCATTAACCTCGTGTATCTGATCGCCACGCTTGAGGCCCACATCCTGAGCCTTCGAACCAGGCTCCACGTGCGATATGTAAATGCCTACCGAGGCATTGCCCGTGGCAGCGGCCACGCCGCGCAGCTCGTAGCCGCCAATGATTTGGAAATTGAGTGGTTCGTCGCGTGAGGAGCGCGTTAAAATGCAACTGCGCATGCGCGCTTTGGCTGCACACGCGATGTGCAGTAAACGGAGCTGACTTAGCAGCTTTTTGCTTTCCAGGCCAGCCTCAAAGATCTCCAGGAACTCCATCATTTCGTGGTCAGCCTCAAAATCTGTGAAATGATTGTTCACCCAGAGCAGCACGACGCGGGTAACACGATCCCGCAACTCTTGGGTTTTGTGCGAATCCAGTTGCTCCAGATCGAACCAGTGTAATAGCTTTCTGGTTACCTCTTGCTGGTTATGTATGAAAATGCGATGCGTTAGCAGGAAATCCTCCACATATGTCGGATCCGTCATCGAGTTCTCCTCGACAAGCTGTTGCAGCAGTCGCTCAGGTGTGCCTCTGATAACCACATGACCGCGCTTTGTATTCAAATGAGCAGTGGCTGCCGAGCCGCTGCCTGTTGTGGTTGCGCTCTCCGCACCGCTGCCGCCAATGGAGCGCAGTTCGGTGACCATTACAATGCGTCCCTGTTCATCCTCATGCCTGCGCGTATTCTCCTCGCCCTGATGCTGAATGCGATAGTAATCGGTTTGTGTGATGCACACAAATTGACAATCATCGCATTTGGTGCGCATCACGCCGCGATGATATAGTTTATCCATCGTGGGCAATATGCCAAAAGAATCGCCCATTTGGAGCTCTTCGCGTGTGCCATTCGCATGCTCGATTTCCACGGCGCCATTGATTAGCACAGACCAGGAATCCAGCTCCTCGCCATCGGACATGACCACTGTGCCGGCCTTGTCAACCACAGCGAACACCATCACTGAGCAGAGGGCGCGTCGCACCGCCAGCGTTATGTTTGTGAATGCCTTGAGGCCCTGCGTGAACTCCAGCAGTATTTCCACATCATCTTCGCTGCGCTCTGACGGATCCTTCTCGAGACAATCGCGTACGGCATCACGCACATTGAGGCTCTGTGGCGACAGGACACAATATTAGCAAAAGCAAACACAAAATCATTTGAAGATAATTCTATTTTGTTCGATATGACCAACTCACATCCATGCTCTCGGCAAGATCCTCCTCATCAGAGTCCACCACAGACTCAACGAGGCCGGAGAGATCAATCTCCTCGGCCTCCAGTGATGATCCATAGACAGAGGCCATTGTATCGCTGCCGCTGTACGCCGAACTTGTGTCACTCGAGTGCGAGCCACGATTGCATTTTTGATGCAATTCTGGTCGATTTATTGAGCCGGTGGTGCCGCTGCCAACCACGGTTGAGCTGGCTGTGCTAGTGGGTGGATACTGCAAGGAAAGAGGCAGACAGCATACGATCAAAAGGAAGTTCTTAATAGACATACAATGCACTATACAAGATTCAAGATGACACTCACATGATGTCTGATATGATGATATGGATCCATTAAGGCGCTGCTAATGCTGCTGCTGCTGCTACTGCTACTGCAGCTACGGCATGCCAATCAGTTGGGTGATATGTGCTGAACTTTAGACCTTGTGATTAAGCTGAAAAGAAAAAAGCATTAAAATTAACTACGGTATAAAAATGTTTCTATTTTTTTTTACGTTAAGGGGGAAACGGCACGGGGGCGTAGCAAAGCTGGCATTTGACGTGATTAAAAAGTATAGAAATTAATTTAAAAATATACACTATTATTGAACTTGCTATTTTTAAAGCATTTAAACATTAATTATTATTAGTTTATATACAAATTTAATTGATGTTATCCAAAAAAAAAATTTATATATATATTATTATAAATATTAAATTAATTTTTGCACAAAAAAGTGTGTCTTCCCATTTGTGTAGACACCACTGTATTATGTGGACACCAGTATATTTTGCTCTAGGCTCTAGTCAACTCAGCAAAAAGTTGAGCTAAACTAATTAATGTAAACTAGTTATATAGAACTATAAATATAAAAAAAAAGTAATAAATTAATAGCTTCCAAGTCAGACCTTATTATGGTTTTAGAGAGAATAATTATAGCGTTTCGCATGTGCAAATACCTAGGCATATTTTCAAATATTATTACTTTTTTTTTTAAGTTGTAACTCTTACAAAACTGCAAAAGGCTTTCTGTTTTGAGCAAAATTCACCTAATTAAGCAACAAAAAATTAAATCTCTTAAATCTCATAGAAAAAACGGCTGTGAGATTTTATTGGTTAATTTTGTTTGTTTGTTTGTTTTTTGCTTTTGTTTAACTGGGCTCGCAATTTGCAGTACATACATGCACACATACATACTAACACACTTTCATTTTCAGCAGGCGCAGCAGCAACAATGCTGCCAATAAATTAAGTCAACGCTGCGCGCCGACGACCACAAAACAAAATGTAAAACAAAAACACGAAGAGAAATAAAAAAAATTCTCATGCAATTGAGTCTGCGCTGCTGACGCCGACGCCGCCGCCGACGGCAACTGTAAAAGCGTGTGGGTATATATGCATGTGTATGTATGTGTGACTGTTTGATTGTTTTTTTTTGTGTGTGTATGTGTATTATAATAAAATGAAAACACGAAAATTGTAGGCGACGACTTCCGTTCGCTGGATAAGCGCCCATTACAGCAACAAGAGCAACTTATTGCAAAATCAAAGTGTAATAAATAAACACTGTCCAACGCATACACTGGCACTCATACACGCAAGCAAATCTGGTGTTTCACACATACACTAAATATGGGCGTGCTTGTACAGTTCAATGATTTGATGTGGGCTGTCTTAAAATTATATGTATATGTATGTATGTACAACGCTTGTTGCTGCACTCGCTAATTATACGCACTTGTTTTTATATACGCCGCCACACATACACAACCAAGTATAATTTTTTCCTGGCCTTCGCGTTGCTTGATCGCTAGCTTCTTTTTTGTTGCGTACGCTTTGCATAAAGAAATTTTAGCCAGCTTGTTCCCTGCGCATTGTTGGAATTTCACTCACACGCGCATAGTTTTTCATGCAGAAAACCTGCTATGTTGATGCTTGAAAAACACCGTTTCTGTTCTTTAATTTATTTGCAGCATACCTGCAATCACTTTCGTACACCGTATAGCACTTTATTTAACAAACTTTTGGCTTGCATATGCCATTTTAATTTAGAAAAAATGCACAATGGGTCTCGTCGTCACACCAGTGTTGCCCCAGCAGATTTCGATTGACTGTGGTGTGGTGGCAAGTCGATACTTGTGTTAACAGAGTGCGACGTGCGTTAACAGTCTCTATATTGCGTTAGCACTGTCAACTGTTGCGGCATAGTTACATTCAAAATGACAGTGCACAAAAAATACAACCTCCGTCTATTTATATTAGCAAAATAGGATGTCTGCTCCACACAGACGGTCCACAATATACAAGCAACTTTTATTGAAAGTAGTGAGTCCCCAGAGAGCTCAAGACCCCTCGCTCAGTAATAATAAAAAGGGCGAAAAAGGGCTCAGGTTGTGTACCAATTTCAATAAGCCGGTTCGTCTTAATGTAAAGCAAGCGTCTTTAATGCATGTTTGCGCCATTATTGATGACCTAAGACAGCAGCCAACTCAACCCCTAACCCCGGGATCTAGTAGGCCACATAAAAAACGCAACATGTTTCGTTTGCGGCTAGCTTATGCGTTTCTTAAGGGGTGAGGCACAAGGGTGTAAAACTAGCGCGTCGAATTGGCGAAGGGTGCCAGCCACGTGGCCAACTCCACACACGCACACAAACACAGATATACAGGCAGGGCAAAGAAAATAATAAACATAAAAAGCAAATCCTTAAGGTGCAGTGGGCTATTTTTTCCTGATCAGCACCCACAAGAAAGCAGGCAGAGCCGGTTTACGCTGGAGTGTTGTAGTAAGGGAAGGGGCCAGAGGAGTGGCGGCGTCGTAGTTGATGACTTCATGTCCCCAAGGTGTGCAGCAGGCTGTGCAACGGCTTTAACGTTACCCACTGACATCGTCTGCATTTTTATGGCTTGCACCGTATATCCCAGCCTGATGGGTTTTAAACATATTAAATTTGAATTTCATGTGTCTCAAGATGGTAAAAGCTTACAAATGTTTGATTTTCTGTAAAATTATGTTGCTTTTATTGTTGTTCGTGTTTAATTAAACATTTATGTTTTGATAAAGTCAACAATGTAAAACTAATATCGATAGGCGGCTAATATCGTTTTAATCGATAGGTTTTGATCTGTTTCGATGGCACTCGCAAAGTTATCAGATCCCGCCAAAATAAAAGATGAGTTGCCAATTTTTTTTATTTTTAGTGTGTGGTGTAGTTTTAATTTAAATTGTGTTTAGTGTCGAAAAAGTGAAAGTTCATACTTAAATATGTGAGTGTATCAGTATTAATCAAACTAAAACATATGCTTGAATGCACATCCTATTTAAAATGCTTTACGCACTTTGCCAATTTGCAATGGGGCTCCCGCAGACACTTTTGCCTCTTTCGCTTTCCTCCTTTCGTTCGTTCGCCTTGAGGCTTTTGGCTTGTTGTTGTTTTTGCTTTTCTAACCTAACGAAAATCTCTGAGCGCATTTGTTGCTGCCGGCGATGTTACTGATGCTATTTGTTCTTTTTGCGTGTGCTTTGTTTTCGTTTGCTTACAATAAAATCAAAGATTGCGTCTGGGATTTTGTTTTCGCAAGCCTTAAAAGAAAACCAACTCAAATAAGCGGCAGCGCAGCCCGGCCAATGCGAGTCCCAGTCCCCCCAGCTCCATCCCCGTGAGACGCCAGCAAAAGTGAGTTGAGCCCGAGGGCTTGCTTCAAATAATAACTTATTGATTTCGATTGCATTGGAAATGTTACTTTAAATTAAAGTAGCACTTGTAGACTTTATCTCAGCATTTTTACGGCGCCCATATTTTCCAATTAGCGGCCGAATACACCAAATCTTAATTTCCGCACAAACTGCTGCAGAACCGCAACAATAATTACGTAACCTGCCAAGCTCAGTGGGGAACACACACACACTCACACACACATGCAGCACAAACAAGCAATAACAATGCCCGAGCGCATTTGAAGAAGCTGAGCAAAAAAGGTGTGATAAAAATCTCTGTAAGTTCCGTTAGGATCGGCGTGTGTGAGTTAGAGATGGGCATTCGTATCTTGTACTGTGACTCTCTCGCGTTGAATTCCATGGTTGCAATTTGTTTGTACTTTTATTTTCATAATTTTCTATTCTTTATTTGTAAGTCCGTCTTTATGTCTGTCTGTATGTGAGCAATTTTTTCGCAGCTATTAAGCTCGAGACTAAAAACTTAAAACAGTTACTCGTTTATATTCGCGTCAGGCAAAGTGTTAACAGAGCTTAAAAGCTAGAGTTACCAATTTTAACATGTAGACTTCTAAAAAAAAATAATAAATGAAAACAATAGCCTAAAGCATAGTTAATTCACAGCAAAGTTCGTGAATCACGTGACTTCACTGCGCTCACGCGCTCATCCCTATTTAATGTACACCTCCAACTAGCAACGGCAACCGGAAAACCAAAGGCGCTGGGCATGGCAGACAGGAAAATCTGTCTGTAATTGAGCTCCGAGAGTCACAGATGTTTTCAGGATTTAACAATGCGACAAAGATGAGCCGGCCGCTAGCTGCTGGGCCAAAGTCAGTGCAGGTCGCTGCTGGCTGCGTTCCGTCGAGCAATTTGAATTAATAAGTTTATTATATTCTAGTTGGCCTTCGGATTTGCAGCGGATTTGTATTTTATGTTATTTAATTTGCCAGTAGCCGCCGCAGTACGGCCCCCGCACTGCCAAGCAGGTGCCTCTGTTTCTGTGGGGCCAAGTATTCAGAGCCAAGACTCAGCTGTTTGGCCTGCACGCAGCGGCTCAAAGTATCATTTAGTTTTGCCATTTGGCTTTGTATGCTCCGCTCTTCCACCCTTGCAGCAGGGAAAAGCGCCCGAAAGATGTGCTCACAAGAAATTTTTATTTGTATTTTCATTTTATTTTCGCATTTTGTGTACTTAGGATTTGTATGTCATTATGTTTTTGTTATTAGCTGCAGTTTGGCTTAAGCTACATATTTGTAATTTCTCTACAATTTTCTGCTTTTCATTTTTGCCATTTTCAATGCACTTAAATTTTAAAACTTTTATTCAACATGATTGTGCTCAACGTTTTTCTTTGTTTTTCTACATTTTTAAATCCTTTCTTTTTATTTAATTTTTTTTTTTAATGCCTTGAAATTAATTTGTGAATATAATTAACTGTGTCTTGATTCGTTGCAATTGAAACTGTTTTTTATTTTTATATTTGATAGCCTTTTTTAATATGCATTCGCTTAATAATAGTTTTAATTGCAGTATGTAAGTCTACAATGTAAAATCAGCTTTTATGATTGAAGTTCTCTACGAAATAAGTTTTTAATTAAATCAATTGCACAATTACAAATGTTTTCAAAATGCGCTCTCCAAGATATTCATTACCTTAACAATTTTGATAATTTTAAGTCGCTTGGAAGGCCATTTGAGATTCGGTCTGCCGAACTCGAAATATTTTTTTCTATGGTTTTAAGTATATATTTTCAAGTATTTTGTTGCTACAGCGAAACCTCTTTAAAGCTTATTCATAAAACACAAACTGCCAAATTAGCAATTAATTTAGTTTCCATTTAAATGTTGGTATAAGAAATCAAAGCGAGGAAAAGGCACAGTAAAATGTTTTTTATTGATTTAGAAAGCAAAATTTATGATAGATAAAATGATGTTAAAGCCTGAATTAAAGAAATATTTTGATATGCGTCTAATTGACTTTGTCATGATTCGAAGTTCGAGCTTTGACTTGAAATTAAAATTTGATCTTAGCTGTGAATATTTACGCTTAGCATATGGATTTTATATAGAATACTTCTCTAGTAGACTGTTCTAGAAGCATTTCGCATAAATTGAATTTCTAATATTCAGTTGCTCAAACATTTATTGTCAAAATTATACGCAGGTTTTGGATTTTCTTCTTCATTTTGTTCATCCATCAAAATTCAATTTTGAGTTGTAGTTGATAGAGAGGAGGGGATCGCATAGAACTACGTTTATATAAATATATAGAGTTCTTTCTATAGGTATATACATTTAAAGCAAAATTATTAGATAGAGAGCGTTCAGGTGGAGGAGCGATAGGTACACACATATGTCAATGTTTACATTTTAGATTCTATTTCATAGAATACGCGTACAGTACTACATATACTTATTCCTATCATATGTCGAAACAATTGTGTATGATCGGTTAAAATATATATTTACATTACTATTTTCCGTATGTAGAATGCAAAAAACTTAAGCTATTGACTTGAAAATGACCTTAAAGCTAAGCTAACTCTAAGCATCTCCTGTGTTTGACCAATGAATCACTTATAGATATTATAGTACGATAAAGTGCATGGTGCTCCAACCAAAAGTGCATTTTTCTATTTGATCAGAGGTTTTTTTTTCCATATTGTGAACAGCTTTCGTTTAGACTTCGATTGCAAACTCAAGTTGTTAAGAAGTCTGAGATAATTTGAATCTTATATGAACTCCCTTAGACTCCCGTATGTATGCTATTAAAAATTGTTTGGAATGGAGGTTCAGACAAGAATAATTTTACTCCAACTAAGATGTATAGATTAAACTTTTTCAGTTTGGAAATGATATTAATATTAATACAAGTTTATTAGACAGTACGTTTTTGCCAGGGATTAGTTATTTCAGTTATTAAAAGATTTTCCAATAAACGTAAAGTTTTTTCAGTGTTGGTTAGGGAATTAATGTTGGAATTAGTGTTGGTTAAGGAATTAATGTATATTATTAGTAAGTTTTTACCAGGATTAAGTCCAAAATTCCTTCTTTCTATTTTGATCTCACTTCAAAATTGCCAAAAAATCCAATTTCAATAAAAAACTGTCTAATAAACGATTCATATTCATTTTCAGAGTATTTGGAACAGTTTCGGAATGTTTTTAATTGCATATATTAATGACACAAACGGATTACTTAAATTTTATGTGTTAAAGATTGAGGATTTCAACAGGTAAGTTTTTTCTTTTAATAAAAATTTGTATTTTAGAACATTATTCATAATCTTCGACTCTATATGAGTTTTCATTGGTTATCTTTTGGTTAGAGCACTCTGAAATACGAATAGCCGAATTTTTGCCTACATATCATTTAATTTTAAATGCATTTTTCATTCAAATACATTAAATTCGCATTGTTTTATTTTATTTATTTTTGTCGTGTAGTTTCAATTTAAATTTACCATATAATATTTGATATATATGTTTTTTAAATGTTTGCTAAAAACGCGTGTAGTTCTTATTTTCTGTGTATATTTTTTTTGCTTTTTTTTTACATTTTTAATACATCAGTGTTTGGGTGTCGGGCTTAAAACCTAAATTCTTGCGCTGCAAAAACAAATGTATCTCCCGGAAATTGGGGCGACTTGATTCGTTGCGTTGCCAGCATTCGCACATGAGATCGTAAATTTCGCGCGGACAGTTGAGTGGCATTGGCAACAGTTCCTGCAAATACACATGTTTATATAATATAGATGGATATATATGTACATATATATGGCACTCAAGCCGAGAGTTAGCTTTGCTACTCACATGCATTTTATCGTCCTGATATATATGTCCAATGTTTTCAATAACATTCGCATCTGTCATGTGCTCATAGGGCTGCTCTCGGGCGAATGTCAATATCTCCCAAAGGGTAACGGCAAAGGACCAAACATCCGATTTGGTGCTGAATTTGGCCTGCAATTAAATGGTGTTTTTTTTTTTATTTTGTATTAATATAAAACGTCGGATATGGCCAAAAGGCCTTTCGTTTATTTTTGTTTGCATGGCTTTTGGCTTAAGGATTTTGCGGTGGCACAAAAGCCATTCATGTGCATACATATCCTTTAAGGCAACTTTTGCGCTTTTTAATAAACATATGTATAAATACCAAAGAGCATCTCATACCCATTTGCCATCCCTTTGCCCTTTGCCCTTTTGCCACTGTTGTTGCCGTTCATTTGCCCCAAAGGCAATGCCAGAACTCTGAAAGCTACTTGTAGAACGCTGTCTAAAACACACACACACACACACACATACATAAACAACAACAATTATAACAACAACAAGCACGCTTTATGGTCTAGATCTAGTGCTATATATGCGTGGGCATGGGTTTTATCCTTGCCATTTTATCCCCCCCTTCCACTCCACGCAGAAAACTTCATACATGTCCTTTTGTCTGTGCGGCTGTCTGCGCCGTTTTTCATGTAGTTAATTAATTTATTTAGTGCGGTTTTTCGCACTGGGATTTATAAAATATTTTCCTCCGTTTCGGTTGTATTTTTGTTTTTATTTTTTATTTTCTACATTTAATTTTTTCCTTTTTAGTTGTTTATTCCACAAAAAATTTGTACTCCATGCCATTTTTGGCGCAAATTAAAGTTCTGCTTCCCCCTTTCAGATAAGCGTAGAGCTCTGATATGTCAGTTAATTAAAACGAAAACTTTGTATGCCTAGTAAAAGCTTTTATTAGACATATTCAATTAAAGGTTGAAAACGAATAGTTATAATTAATTATAGTTTGATATTTAAATGGGGTCTTATCAAAAAGTAAATTTGCTGGACAATTGCATAAAAAATGTCTTGAAGTCTCGTCCTTTCTTATTCAGTGTCTGAAGTCTGCTTGGGTGGATAGACGTATTCTTGAAGGCGGTTCTTAATTGAATAAAATCCCCATAAAAAGCAAATTCGCCTATATAGGAGTCGCCAAACTGCTTGGCTTGATTTGCAGCCCTTATCAACACATACCGCTTCTCAGATTTCTTGAAAAAAACTAAATAGATTGATGTTGTTTGCCTTTTTACTGCTAAATGTTAAGGTCGGATAATACAATATTTCGGATCCTGTTTTAATGTGCATAAAAGAGTTATGGAATGCCAAACCAAATCGTAAACTAAGCCGATTAATTATTCTCTAAAACACACTATATTAGCTTTATTTCCTCTACCTTAACCGTTTGTGTGCAGACTAGCAGTTCTTTGAAATTGCCCGGCTAAAGTAAAATATGAAAAGTTCTTTTAAAAATAAAAGCGCTTTTTGCTTATTCATGCTGCCGTAATAGACTTATTATAATGTGGCTCGCAGAACTTCAAGACCGGAAAAGGTAACTGACATAAATCGCCAGCTTAAAGAGGCAGCAGAAAAAGCAAATTAAAAATAATTAACACAATTACAACTCATTTTGCTGTCAAGCTGCTTGAAGGATCGGCTGCCCCACTGCCTAACTCTTGGAACTCCTTGGAATAAACCAGAGGGAGTTTGAGGGCGGGGGTTAGAGGCAAAAAGACAGAGGGAAAAGAGAGTGAACACTGTTCATTAATATATAATTATAAACTTGTGCCACAGTGCACAATTCATGCAGTAAATGAGCAAAGCAAAGAAAAAATTCTGAACAAGGTGCATTTGTTGTACTGTGAAACATGGTTGAAGAAGGAAGGATTGAACTTACCAGCAGGACACTCTCCCAGGCCATCCAGCGTATGGGCATTGGCTGCGTCTGTCGGCCCGTGGTGCCCTCCAGCTGGCAATAGTCCGACGCATAGGCCGAACGGTTTATCACAGTGCCAATTGAACAGACCTTGACGCTCAGCTCGGGTCCAATGATGCAACTTCTGCAATAGAGATTAAACAACGAGAGTTTAGCTGAAGATTTGGCATCAGAAATCGGTGGCAGCATTGGAAATTCAATTAAAAATACCAGAAATTAAATAAACAAAAACTTTCGCAGGCTAAAAAGGCAACCAGAGTCAGCGTCAGTCTCAGCCAGGATATGCTCCTTGCTGACACGAGCTGATTGCTTCGTCGTCGTCGTTTCCACATTTTCGTGCCACCACATGCCCATTCCCAGCCATGTCGTCGCATGCATTTCAAATGAGCGCCGCTGTCAAACAAACTCCCCCGTCATATGCTCCGCTCCCCCCCACACTGACATTTTGCCATTGCCTGCTGTGTGCTTTACTTGAAGGGGTTGCATGTGTAGTTATTGTTGTTGCTTCCGCATTTAAAAAGGTATTTGCAACTTGTTCAAGGAGTTTGCAACATTTAAGCTGCAGATATCTGGACAAGCAGGGCTTTGGATATATGTTTAAATGTTGAAGAGGAATATGTAATTAAATCATATATTCTTTCTTACAAGCATTCGAATGTATGACTTTTAAGAAAGTATTAAGTTTAGACTTTAAAGTTGGCTTTGCGCACTTTAGATACTTTACAAGTGGTTCCTTGTTTATTAACGAATATATGTCTATATTGAAATATCGATTCTTAGATTATATTGTTTGAACTATCTTTCCGACTGTTCCGAACTTATTTGTTGTCAAACTTTTTTTTTTTTAGAATATTTTAAATTATTAAGCTTATTTAAAATTGATTAACTATGGTAACTATATTACATTTATTATTGTAATATTGTTTTTAAATGAAAGCTTAATTAAACCTTTAAAGAAATGAGCTCCTGCTAAGACTTTAAAGGGTATTTACGATTCAGTTTTGCTCATAGCTATTGTTTTCTCTTGCTTGAGGGCATTGCCGGTGCAAAACAGATTTAACGTTACGTTTGGAAGCTGGCAAGTGGTCAGTCCGCTGAGTGCTGAGTGCCCGAGGGCAACAGCAGGAGCAGCAGCATCAGTTGAAAGCTTTATATTTTTGTATTATTGTTTCAGTCGCAACCCCATCTATCCAAACAGGAAGCAGAAAGAGATGAGTCTCAGGCAGTATAACAAAAACTGGGGGATCAACAAACGTTGAAGCATGACTGAAAATGACAATATAAGCGGAGTGAAGTTGGAGGAGCGTGTAGATTGGGTTGGCCTGGGGTTTGGCCTGCGCAGGGGAAGTGCCGTAAATGAAACCATGAAATGGTGAACACAATCAACATTTGATATTGAGCAAAACGGAGTGTGCCAAAGTTAAGTAAATACGACGACAGTTGAGGTTATGACTGATGACATACCTTGGAGGACAATTGAGAAGTTGAAAATATGCGAATGGATGAAGAATGCGACAAATGTTCAACTGGGAATGTCAGTAAAAACAGAAAATATGTTGAAATTGTGATAAAGGGAATTTTAATGAGCACAATAATTTTCATACCTTTCGTTTTGGACTGGACTTGGAAAGAGAAACAACATCATGACAATGTAGTTTCGGTAATGATTAAGATTATAAAATCAATTACTAATAAAAGAATATCGATATAATCAAATATCGAGAAAATTCAGAAATATATACAGAATGCAGTTGAAAGAGGAAAAGTTAGATGAAAAATAAATTAACATAACGATTAAAAGATTGCCAAAAATATAATATTGGTCATATAAACTCATCGGTAACCAAGCGATGTTAGAATATTGGAAATCCTATAGAACTTTACTTATCTCAAATCGAATCAACAATATATTCAGTTATCGTTATCGAGACTATCGCACATCTGTTGTACCATCAAGAACAACAATTCATTAACGGAAATGCAATCAAGTATGCAAAGACCCTGCAAAACCTGACAAACATGACGGGGGGCTAACCAAATAACTGACGAAGGGCCATCGGGCAAAAGTGAACTGCGCCCACACCAGCCCACATCCATTTACAGAAAACTGGGCATGGATATTACACATAAGCAGACAGGTCTGACGTGCATAATTTCCTGTTGTTCGCCTGCCTCTTAATATCAATGAAAAAGGATATGAAGTGCTGTCATATTACAAATAAAATGTCTGCCTCAAGTGCGCCATCGTCAAGCTCGTGTCTCGTTGCCGCTCGTCATGTAATGCGTTTAGCCCAAATCTCAAACCACAACGCACCACAGCCAGCGCACCACACACACGTTAGCTGGAGTTAGAACCACCCTCTTTTGGCGGACAGTTTCTGATTTCGTGCGTTATAGATTTCGATTTTGAAGACGCGCTTTGCCAAAACCAACAACAATTGAATTTGAGTTGAGTGAAAGGTTTAATTTTCAGCTGACATGCGATGCGGGGGAGAAAGGAGGGCGATATATATGTGGAATATGACGCAGTTGCAACATGGATCGAGTGTCGCTTGTTGAGTGACTAGTTAAGTAGGCTTGTCTAGGCAGTTTATGTACGGGCTAGGATTTCCATTTCAATGCTCTTGACATCTATTGACAGCGACACTGACACGTGTCGAGGTTTTGCCGAGGGTTCAAAACAGAAGCTGCCCCCAGATCCTTATCTCTGTCTTATATATAAGAAGTATCTGCTTGCTGTCTTCAAATTGGCCGATTGATGCCGAATGTTGCTATTAGCTGTCTTTATTTAAAGTGGATTGTGGTTAAACGTATATATCGGACTTTAATATGATTAAAATGCGACCATTCCCTTTAAAAAAAAAGATGCAAGAGCCCGCACTATTAACCCAATTAAATGTACACACACATACAGCTCTCGACCATAAATTTGGTTAAGAAAATTATTCCGTAAAATAAAACGCTGCTATGTGCCATGTGGAAACTGGCGCAGAATCAGCGTCAATTAAACTGCGCCATAAAAATTTGTAAGCTGACCAACAAATTTAAGCGACCAAATGGTGGAAGAGCTCCTAAAATAAAACAAGACACAAATTGGAGACTGTTAAAACGTGCAATTGCACGACGAATATATACTCTGCATAAAAGTATTTAAGTTAATTTGATAAGCCAAGAACTAATTGCTTTACTTTAAATATTTATGCTTCTAATTATGCAAACAAATTCAGAAATTCAAAATTTAAATAAATAAAATAAATTCACATAAATTGAAATAAATGTAAATAAACTAAATTAATTTAAAAAAATTAAAAAATTAAATTTAAATTCAATTACTATTTCAACAAGTTATTTGGTTACAAATTTTAGAAGCACAAAAGTGTACAAATTTGTATTTATTTTTGAAATTTAGTTTTATTTTATTTATTTCATATATATATCATATATATATTTTTTTTAACATACATAATATTGTTATTTTTACCGTTTTATAGAATTTGGCTTAAAGCGTCGAATCAAAGTTTCAAAACATTAAGTTTGTACACTTCTTCATATAGTTGTTTGCTTTGTCCAAGATAAAACCAAAGTAAATATACCCAATTTTTGGCTAGTATATTATTTTTACAACAAAATGGCCGACAATGGACAATAGAGTGGCTAGTTCGGGTCCTTGTTTTCGCAACTTTCACTAACAAGCTGTGTGCCAGAAACAGAAACAGCAACAACAACAACAACAACTAACCATATATTGTTCCAGTTTTTGGTTCAGTTTTTATTTTTTTTTTGTGTTTTTAGCTGGCAATTACAAGCATATTAGGTTAACACAAATGCACAACAAAATGTCCTTGGATTTGCGACAATAAAAAAGCAACAGAGAGATAATAAAAAAGAGAGAAAAAATAACAGCAGCGAGCAAAAAAGAGAATAACGAGTACAAAACGCAATAACAATAAATTGCATGCGACTTGCGGCGCACTTTTAAAATGTGTCAGAAAAACATATAGTTATGGGTTTTTAGTTGCCCAGAGCCCGGGCAAAGCGCCCCACACCACACACGCTCCGTCCACAGGCCACGATACACCATACATAGCTGTGTAGCAGCGTACTGGCCTGTATTTGCCAGAAGACGCGACGCGATGCGAGCAAAATAAATAAAATGGCTGGCAGCAAGGACAAATAAACGACTTTGGGATTTGCTTTGGCATTGGACGCGAAGGCGGCCAACGCGTCTTGCCAGTTGGTTATAAATTAGAAAAACAGCACCATGTGCCCGGCCACTGGGCTTAAAGCGAGTTAATTAAAGTCCCAGACAAAATGATGGCCATTAAAAACACGCCATGGACATTAAGTGCATCAACTAAAGTGCCCACTGACCAGTTGTCAGTCAGAACGTCTGCCTCAGTTCAATAAACTAAGAAAACAAACAATTAAACTCAAGTCTGATGAGTGCTTGAGGTCAAAGGGTGTCCCGAGTGGGGCAACCCACAATCAACCACCAATAAAGTCAAATGCCTTTAGGCGTTGTCCCAGAGCATATGCTTGAAATCGATTGAAAAACTTAATACAGAGGTTGAGCTAGAGCAAATAAGAGACATTAGGTTTAAATGGGTCATTGTAGTAGTTATATATTTTCCCATTTTCATTGTGGACAGGTGCTTCTTTTTATTTATCATTTAAATAGCATGTGCTAACATAACGTATTAGTTCTTGCGAATAGAACCCAATTTCAATCCAATTATATACTCTAATCCGTGTACGAATCCCCGGTAAATATATCATAACTATCAATTATATTAATAATTCAACTACAGAGAAATCAAGAAAAGAGTGTATTACTTTAACGATAGCTTCCATTGTGAGACTCTATATAAGGTTTATTTAAATCGCTTGTACACATTAAATATTGTGCTTTATTTTTACCAAAGTTAGTTGCCTTAAAACACAATTTAAAAATCTTATTCAAATGATCCATTGACACAGTTTTCGTTGCGTGCCCGGCCCCTTTTGTATTGTTTGTTTATTATACAACAGAAAAAAAGCAAGGCCACAAAGCAACTGCAATCAGTTTGAAAAACAAAACCGAAGCACCAGCTCTCGACAATCCTTGATATCAATGCGCAGTGTACG